TAAGGCTTATGATAGAGTGGAATGGATTTTCGTTGAAAAAGTTTTAACCAAACTAGGGTTTTGTGAAAAATGGATTAGTTGGATAATGTGGTGTATCAGTACTGTCCAATATAGGGTTCTTCTTAATGGACAACCTCGAGGACTAATAGTACCAGAGAGGGGTTTACGGCAAGGAGATCCGTTGTCTCCTTATCTATTTATTCTTTGTACTGAAGTATTAATTACGAACATACGGAAAGCAGAACGGGATAAATTAATTACGGGTATCAAGGTGGCAACTGCAAGCCCATCGGTTTCTTACCTGCTTTTTGCGGATGATAGTCTATTTTTTTGTAAGGCTAACAAGGATCAGTGTGGGGTAATCTTGGAGATCTTAAAGCAATATGAAGCGGTCTCAGGACAACAAATAAATTATTCCAAATCTTCGATCCAGTTTGGGCATAAGGTAGATGACGGTGTGAAGGAAGATATCAAATCTACCTTAGGTATCACTAATATTGGTGGTATGGGTTCATATCTTGGGTTGCCAGAAAGTCTCGGTGGTTCAAAAACAAAATTTTTCTCTTTTGTTAGAGACAGGTTACAGACAAGGATTAACGGATGGTCGGCAAAATTTTTATCAAAAGGTGGGAAAGAAGTGATGATTAAATCGGTAGTTGTGGCATTACCAACTTATGTCATGTCGTGCTTCAGACTACCGAAAACAATCACTTCTAAACTCACTAGTGCGGTTGCTAATTTCTGGTGGAGCTCGAATGTTGCCTCCAGAGGTATGCATTGGATGGCTTGGGATAAATTATGTATTAATAAATCGGAAGGAGGGATAGGATTTCGAAACGTCGATGATTTTAATTCGGCCTTACTTGCAAAACAGTTGTGGCGGTTGATCACGGTTCCGGATTCTCTCTTTGCGAGGGTTTTTAAAGGGCGGTATTATAGGAAATCCAATCCTTTGGCAGATATAAAGTCATATTCCCCATCGTATGGGTGGCGGAGTATATGCTCAGCTAGATCTCTGGTTAATAAAGGACTTATTCAAAGAGTCGGATCTGGGAATTCCATCTCAGTTTGGGAGGATCCGTGGATTCCAGCTCAATTCCCGAGACCAGCAAAAAGTAATGGATCTATTAATGACCCATCTTTAAAAGTTAACATGCTTATAGATCGTCGATCTAATTTTTGGGACATTGATCTCCTCAAAGCGGTCTTTGACCAGGAAGATGTCGAGTTAATAAGTGCCCTACCGGTGGGTGCGCCAACCAAGGAGGACACCTTAGGTTGGCATTTTACAAAATCCGGCAAATATTCAGTTAAGTCGGGGTATCATACCGCATGGTTGGATAAGTTGGAGACCAACTCATCTTTCATTGGGCCAGATTTCAATAAGTTAAAGGCTCATACTTGGAAAGTACAGTGTCCACCTAGGATACGTCATTTTTTATGGCAAATCTTAACGGGTTGTGTACCGGTTACAGAGAACTTACGAAAAAGAGGAATTGATTGTGACACTGGTTGTGCCAGATGTGGTGCACTGGAGGAAACAGTCAATCACACACTCTTTCAGTGCCATCCAGCAAGACAGATTTGGGCACTTTCTCAGATTCCTACGGTTATGGGGACTTTTCCCACAGATTCTATTTTTGCAAACTTGGATCATTTATTTTGGAGAATATCATCGGAGTTTGATTCTATAGCTTTTCCTTGGATTATTTGGTATATTTGGAAAGCACGGAATGAAAAATTGTTTGAAAATGTGGATAACGATCCGTCAGAGGTTTTACGGTTAGCGGAAAGAGAGGCACAATTGTGGCACTCAGCTCAAGTGGAGCTTCATTCTGAAACTCAGGCTTCAGTGGGATTTCCAAATCGGCCTCAAACGAGGGGGATGTCCCTAGATTCGGATTTTACAGGATACCGTTGTTTTGTGGATGGATCCTGGAAAGACAGCGACAAGTTTTCCGGGATAGGGTGGTTTTGTACACCATCAAACGGTGAGCCATCAACAATGGGAGCTGCCAACCTCCGTAGAAGCCTATCTCCGCTACATGCCGAATTCGAGGCCCTCCTTTGGGCGATGAAGTGTATGATTGGTGCAGATAATCAAGAGGTAGCATTCCTTACAGACTGTTCTGACCTGGTGAAGATGGTGTCTTCCCCAACCGAATGGCCGGCCTTCTCAGTGTATCTAGAGGAATTTCAGAGCGACAAGGAAGAGTTATCTACCTTCTCTTTATCTTTAATTTCTCGTTGTGCAAATGTAAAAGCGGATAATCTGGCACGAAAAGTTTGTACGGAACCGCTTCATATCACTTATGTAAACAACATTCCACAAGAATGACTCTTTTGAGCACTATTTAATTACGGATGACAAAAAAAAAAAGGAGGTAAAAACGACTGCTCATATTCTGAGAGCGAACGTGAACACTTTCGACTTCTCCTTTAATATATAAGATTAACAATGATATATATATATATATATATATATATATATATATATATATAATTGCTAAACAATATTTAGAAACCCATGTTTTGCTTACCCTAACTACCATAAATCATTCAAAGGTTTATTATTTGGGACAAAATATTTGCCGTTAATATTTTTAAGAAAATGGATGCCGTAGGCCAATGTTTCAATTTCACCAACTGTGGCACGGCCCCATATATTATTGTCATCATTTACATAATGCGCAATGACAAGGATATCAAAGCAGTTACTATCTTTCACCTACAACGTTCAAAGTAAAAAAAATGATTATATATAAAAGCTGGCCAAATATTTTGTATTATGTATGTTTTAGGTTTATAAGAGTTTTAACATTTTCGAATTGTAAAATCCGCTTACCACTGATAACAACGAAAGGTGTGATAGTCTAGTAGTTTAGCACTTGGAGTTGGTTCAATTGTGCCTCTAGTTCAATCCTCTTTGGAAGAAGAGGTACTCCCAAAACGAATAGACTAACGGCTGATTCTAAGCCCAGGGAGATTTAAGTTTTAGGCCCGAATATCGAGGTTATCAAAACAAAAAAACTAATATTTCCTCCGTTTCACTTTAGAACATAAATTTTGTTTCATAATAATTATCGTTTTATGTTTTCAATGCAGATGTCTGATGAAAATTTCAGTTTTATCCCTAAGATTTAATGCTTTGGCCAATGAAAAAAATTATATAATATATTAATAAAGGGTAAAACACAAAATTTAATGATTTTCTTAATTTGTGTGAGTAAACCTTAACCGACATGTAATTCGAAACGGAGGGAGTAATCTATTTTGCTAAATGACGAAAACACCCTCATCTTCGTACATAGCCGTTGCAGTTGTTTATCCTTCATAGGTCTGGGCATTCGGATACCCGTACCCGATCGGCTCTCTTTTTTCGGGTTTCGGGTCTATTCGGATAGGAAGGTTGAGACCCATTCGGGTATTCTAAAAATTCGGTTCGGGTTCGGTTCTGGTATTTTAGTAGAAAAAACAAAATACCCGAAAATAACCAAAAATACCCGAAATATTTTTGGGTTCGGATCGGGTTCGGGTTTTTTACTCATATATACCCAAATCTAACTGAAATATCCGATTACACAAAAATACATTGACTACTATTTACCTAAATTTAACAAAATATATCTAAAAATAATAAAATTACCCAAAAGAAAACTACAACATTGGTTACTTTTTACCCAAATATATCCAAATATATCCGAATTACTCAAAAATATCTAATATTTTCAGATTTATTATTGTAATTTTAGGTATTCGGGGTATTATAAATATAAATATAACTAATATTTTTAGGTGTATATTTGTATTCGGGTACCCACGGTATTGGATTCTGTTCGGGTTCGGTTCGGGTTTTTTCGGGTAGGAAAGTCTAGAACCAATTCGGGTATTTTTTTTAAATCGGTTTCGATTCGGTTCGGATATTTTTCGGGTTTTTCGGTTTGGATATTCGGTTCTGGGTATTTTGCCCAGGCCTAATCTTTCGCTTCGTTAAAAAGGGTAAACAAAATTGGGACGTAATGGTAAATTTAAGTCCGTAATTTTATTTTGCCGTTGTTAAGATTAGAAAGACTCAAAAATTGAAATCATTATTAAGTAAACACGTGGAAGCTAGAAAACATTAATAATATATTTTTCGAGAACTCTATGTTGCTCAAGTGGGGGTAAACTAAAACCGCAAGACTAACCCATAAAGTAGGTCTAGGCATTCGGGTATCCGTTCGGATTCGGTTCTTTTTTCAGGTATCGGGTCTATTCGGGTAGGGGGTCGAGACCCATTCAAGTATTCTAAAAATTCGGTTCGAGTTCAGGTCGGTTCGGGTATTTTGAATAAAAAAGCAAAATACCCGAAAATAACCAAAAATACCCAAAATATTTTCGGGTTTAGGTCGGGTTCGGGTTTTTTACTCGTATATACCCAAATCTAACCGAAATACCCGATTTCTCAAAAATACATTGATTACTCTTTGCCCAAATATAACCAAAAATATCTAAAAATACTAAAATTACCCAAAAGAAAACTACATCATTAGTTACTTTTTAACCAAATATATCCAAATGTATCCGAATTACTCAAAAATACCTAGTATATTCGGATTTATGATTGTAATTTTAGGTGTTTCAGATATTATAAGTATAAATATAACTAATATTTTTAGGTGTATATTTGTATTCGGTTACCCACGGGTATTGGATTCGGTTCGGGTTCGGTTCGGGTTTTTTTCGGGTAGGAGGTCTAGGATCCATTCGGGTATTTTTAAAAATCGTTTCGGGTTCGGTTCGGATATTTTTTCGGGTTTTTCGGTTCGAGTATTCAATTCCGGTTATTTTGCCCAGGCCTACATAAAGTATAAGGAAACACAAGAAAAAAGTGATTTCTTTCATAATACTGGATATCAAAAAAAATCTGAAAGGAATATATACATTCAAAATTTTGAAATCTTCTCAAAAATATATCTACAATCCCTTATCTAATTTATATAATATAATTTAAATCGTAGGACCGGGATGCTCGTCGATTGGTTATGGAGCTTCGGAGGAATTGGACCGTTTCGGATCAATAAAACCGGTTCTAATCTCTATCTCAACAAGTTTACGTAGAACGCAGGTCAATTCAGTTTCAATCCTTCATTTTTGTCTTTATAGTTTCATTTTTTCTGGAATCCATGGTTATACAACAACAAAGTGTATTTGAATCTGGTATTTGTAAATTTGTAATGAACAGAAGCAAACATTTTGTTTCTGGAATCGCCGGCCGGAGTTGGATTTTCGTACACTAACACAAGCTCTGATCTTAAAGATTTCGGGGACGAACGGACTGGTTTTTTTTTTTTTTTTTTTTTTTCATCAGACGTACGGACTGGTTAAGTTCTTATATTTATTTATTTTATATCAAGCATTATTTGTTATCAAGTTGGCTTATGATTGTTAGAATTGATTTTTTTATATGTCGAGTACTATGAAATTCACATGGTAATTAGAATTTCAATATTGGTCTAAAAAGAGAGAATTTGCTATATTACAATTTGGTAAATGGCAGAAAAGGAAGAAAAAAAGAAAAAAACAAGTAATGGTGTAATTGGTGGATAGATTGCTATATAAAATTTTACCATTTGAGTATTTGACCATGACATGTAGAATAGTAGTAATACCGTCATTGTATCAATCATTACCCCGATTCACACTTCCATATTTTTTTTTTTTTATCCAGGTATCCGGGCCGAAGCCCGACTAGCACCAAGGCTTGAGGCCGGTTCCCTGTCGGACCGTCCGAGCCCAACATTTAGTGTGTTTTCTGGAGGTCCAAGGGGGTCAGATGAAAACTTCGGTGGCCAACGGAAATCGAACTGCGGGCACTATATTGAGATTACCCCCTCAAATACCACTAGCCCATCCCACGTTGGTTTTCACACTTCCATATTGCATGCAATGCATGTTGTTAAAACATTTTTTTTACTATTACAAAACGAGTAGCTTTTTCACTTAACATGTTGTTTTTGTTATTTTCATGTTGACCTCTATCCAGTAAAACTAAACCATAAACAAAAAAAACTTAAACTCTAATATTGATTTGATAAATAAGACAAAATGTAACATAGTATGGTAAGTGAAAGATAATTAGATAAATTTTCCAATGTTATTACATAGTATTTATATCGTATTATATTAATTTTTTGACATCTCGCGATTCAGTAAAAAAAAATTCGAGATTTTTTTTAAATCGTTTCATCATAAAATTAAATAGCATAAAATGTATCTATGTATTGCATAGATTCTTACCTAGTATATAATTGAATCTGCAGCTCAGGAAAATTTAATATTTCTAATTAAATGGATGTCAAGATTTCCTCTGTACCAATATAGAGATTTCTACATTGCTGGTGAAAGCTACGCTGGTATTTCTCTCTTGGAGCAATTCAGAATTGATTTGGTTTAATGGTTTTTACTTTTTAGTTAAGTCATTAATGGTAAAACCAAGGCTCCTATTTATCTTCATGCCTAGCAATTCGAGACCACAGACTTATTTTCATGTATATATCTTTTTATAGGTCATTATGTTCCTCAGCTTGCCAAAAAGATCCATCTCTACAACAAAGCTTTAAACAACACACCCATCATTAACCTCAAAGGATTCATGGTAAAACTATGGTTCTATTTATCTCATTTCTGAAACCTTAATCCCTCCTTAATGCATATATATACTTTTGCACAGGTCGGAAATGGAGATATGGACAAGCATTACGACAGATTAGGAACCGCCATGTATGCGTGGTCACACGCAATGATCTCTGACAAATCTTACAAGTCTATCCTCAAACACTGCAGCTTCACGCCAGATAAAACCTCGGACAAGTGCAATTGGGCACTCTACTTCGCCTACATTGTTGAGTTTGGCAAAGTCAATGGGTACAGCATCTACTCAGCCTCATGTGTACATCAAACCAACCAGACCAAGTTTCTGCATGGACGGCTTTTGGCAGAGGAATACGACCCTTGTACCGAAAGCTACGCTGAGATATATTACAACCGTCCTGATGTACAACGAGCTATGCATGCTAATCTTACCTCCATACCTTATAAGTGGACCACATGCAATATGGTTTTGATACGGACGCAGTGGTTCCAGTGACTGGGACTCGACTTGCCCTCAACAAACTCAATCTTCCTGTGAAAACTCGCTGGTACCCTTGGTACTCCGAGAAGCAGGTAATTTTCATCACACTCGTGTTTCTATGCTTATTATGCAGAGCCAGTGATTTCACATGGTGGTGGTGACAGGTGGGAGGATGGACAGAGGTATATGAGGGGCTTACCTTTGCGACTGTAAGAGGGGCGGGCCACGAAGTGCCGGTGTTGCAACCAGAGCGTGCTCTCACTCTTTTACGGTCCTTCTTGGCCGGCAAAGAACTTCCAAGATCTGAATAGTCACACATATAAGAGAGAAGGCTCTCTGCAAAACCCGAGTAAACTCGGTGTTTTCTTTTCCATCTTTATGTAAAAATCAACTTCATTTCCGGCAATCTTGAGAATACATTTAATAAGATATCGAAAGCATTCTTGTATTCGAAGAAGATTTATATTGATACAAGAATAGTAGTGTTGATATTCAAGATTATACCCTGGGAATAAAATTGCAGAAAACCAAAAGTTTCAAATCTTTTATATTAGATTCCACAAGAGTACAGTACAAAGCTCTTTGCTTCTGCCTGACTGATATACAAACAAAAAAAAGCCGACCTCGCTCTCATACCTGAAAGTAGAATGAAACAACAAAAACAGCATCTTACTTCAGTCCTTCGCTGAGACCCGGTGGCATGCCTAAGCTCTGCGCAAGGTCACTCATTCTCTCTTTCATAGCCTATGAAAAAAATTCACAAAGTTCAATTAGAGGAGATGAAAAGAAACAAATAATTTAGTTGCATTGTGATAAAATGGTCTGAGATTGCTATACCACCACACTCTTCGCGTGTGCGTCCTTGTATGCTTCCGTGACAAGTTGTGATAGTTTCTGTCAAAGGAAAACGCACAACATCAGTAACCATTCGAAACTGATGAATTAGCTTTGATTGTTCAATAACAAAAGGTAGGTTTAGTGACTCACTTCAGAACCTAATTCCATTGCTGCCTCGGTTATATCAGTACGGATTGGTTGCTGGTTACCTGATAACGTAACCTGACACGAATTCAAAAGGTTTCAGGTCATCGGAACTTGTAACAGAAACAACAAAGTTTTGTGATTATAGTAAATTCAAGTTCTTAAGCGGAGGAGAAAGTTTTCTTTTTTTAAGGAAACAGAACTCAAGTAAGAACCAAGAACATACAATAATGAGTTCTTTGTTATTCTTATAGTGTGTACACTGATCTATCTAGGGCAAAACAAGATCTACACTAACCTTGACAAGCTCGCCTTCACAATAACCATCAAATTCTGCGCTGCGAAAACGGAACAAAAGCAGCAAGAAACTCAATACACATAGAAGAAACATATACTAATCTTCTAGGTTGTATAGTAAATGCGCCCGGACTTACGCAGCTAACTCTTTTTGGACACGGACAGCTTCGACTTGAACAACCATTTGAGCTTTCTTCACAGTCTCATACATATTCTGCATATTACCAAATATCCCTGCCTAGGAAAAGATCAAAAGGAGAAACACACAAACTTCATAAGTTCCAAAATCATATGAAGTTAACATCGGTAAATTCGATATAAACTTCGAATCTTTATAACATGAAGCCTAACTTAAAATGTTCACATATTGAAGAATCTGCTTGATATCTAAAAAAAACATATACAAATCCAATCTAATGTACCTACCTTTGATTGTCCATCTTCACTGTTATTATCTTTGTTTCCACCACCGAATAATCCATTGACACGAAGAGACCTATAACCATTTTTAGACTTTTGCTGCTTTGGCCATGTAACTCTCTGTGAATTCAAGCTCGCATTTCCTGAAAACCAGAAAATTTACTAAACCCCCCAATTAGAAAAAAGAATCAAACTTTCAATCCCAAAACCACTTAGAGATACAAAATTACGCTTCAATTCCGAGATATAAGTCTAATTACGAAAAATTAAGCAAATTCAGACATATAGACTCAAAATCCAATGTCACGAAACCTAAAGCGAGAGAGACTTTGAAGGAGGGATTTAAGAGAGACTAACCATGAGAGAATGGAAAGAGTAAAAATTTGGTGAAATTAGTGGTCGCAGCCATCGACGCCATTGTTGTACGAGTAGAGAGAGATATTAGAGAGAAGGGCTTCTGAATTCGAGAAGATAAAACCGGAAGCTAATTTTTTCCGGACAACTTGTTTCGTAACTTCTGTGTTTGTTGAAGCTCTTAACCAATGACTTTGCGCCACGTCACTTTAACACTTTAAAGCTTTAGGTTGTTTTTAGTTTGTGTTTGGTTTTTTTTTTTCTCTCACTTTTTTGTGCTTATATCTTTTTCCCCCGAATGAAGTCACAATTTTAAACATTTTTAGATATTTTTTTTGTCAACTGATTTTGTTAATGATAAACTTGTTGGAACCAATGTACAATACACAATCCAAACAAAGGAAACTAAAACCGACGGACGAAATAGAAGTCCTCGGAGTAAAAAACTGGAAGAAAACAAAAAATCTTCGGAATCTAAGCCCTATAAAAGGAAAATAGAAAATACTAAAACTACAAAGCAGAAAAACTCAAAGCTAAAACAAAAGAGGACAAACCATTAAACTAAAAACATAAACAACTAGGCTTAAACCTTACGAAACGCACTAGTCTCAAGAAGCAAGAACTCTTCTTCTGAAGCACCTTTACATTTTTAGTTGGAAATAAGATCTGATTTTCAAATAATTCAATTTGTTGTAATAGATGCAAATTTATAACATGCTAAGTAGAACAGTCTTTCGTGATTCTCTGTTGTATGGGACATGTCTGTCATATGTGTTGTGATCTTTGTGAATCTGCTGTATTGCAAGAAGAACTATTCATTATGTAGTCGTCTTTATATAGCCAAAACTCGACCCCACCATTTGAAATGCCTCGAGGCAAACCATATTTGGCTTCTCTCCTAGGCCTTCTTTAGAGGTCAATGCCATTATGACCTGAAAGAAGACGTATCTATCATTATCATATCCAAACAAACATGCTCTGATTTGTTATATACATGATAATAACATTCATGTCATGGCTTAATGAAAATTGTATCTCTGATTCCTCAGCCATAGTATATTTTCATGACATAACAAAGTAACAATCTTCTATGACTTTTCCAAGCAATGAACGTTACCTTTTGTATCATCCATTGCTATAGAAACTGATTCCTTCTCTCCGGGATCAGCATTTAAAGATCTCACTGGGACGGTAATGAGTTTCTTCTGCTGTTTCCCAATCAAAGCCATGTGTTTTTTCCCAAGCGTATGATTCCTCATAGTCTGCTCAGAATTCGTCTGAATATTACAAGTTTTGCACCAAAACGTTCCTTTCTTTTTCTTCTCACCTTCTGTCGTCTTTCCCGTTGTTTCTTTCGCCGACATTTCATCCACTTTTCCCTGCGGATTAGCATCTTCACGTACTGTAGTAGCTTCTGATTGCGGCGCTGTAACTGAGGCAGGGGATAAGGAGGTTGAAGCAGCTTCAGGTGCTTCATTCTGTTGTGTAACAGCAGCCTTATGCTTTTTACCTAACTCATGATCTCGCATGACTGTTTGACAATAGGTCCCAACTTTACAAATCTCACACCAAAACTTATAATTACTTCTTACCTTGATTTCTACTTTCTTTCCACAGCCAAGTTTCCCCAAACAAGGAAGCTTCGAAGAGACTATCTCTCCGCTTTCCAAAGACATCGTCTTAGCTTCTGATTCTTTTGATTTCTGCCTTTTCATTTGAAGATCTTCGTTCAAACCAGTTTGAGTATCCTCTGCTTTACGCTTTTCTCCTACAGGATCAGCTCTAGCCTGCAATAGTAATCAAAGAGAACACATATGAAACAAATACTAATATCCTATATAACATACTATATACTTACCAAGAGGCGAAAAAAGTGCGTGGATACAAACGATGAGATATCACACCTGTAGTTAAGATGAGAACAAGAAAGAACAATTACTTATATCACTTACCAATACAATTAACTTCTCTTTGTTAGACTCCAAAACTGATGTTCCGGTAGTAGTCTCAGGCATTTGCTGGAGTTGAGGCAATTGCATGGTACCAACACTGTCTGCTTTAGGCTTTGCTCCTATATGATCAGCCCTACTCTGCAATAGAGGTATCAAAGAGAACACATATGAAACAAGTGGCGAAAGTGCACGATGAAATATCCGAATTTTAGTAAGCATAAGAGCTGGTTGACCATTACTTAAAGCACTTACCAATACAATCAACTTCTCTTTGTTAGACTCCAACATTGATGTTCCAGTAGCTTCAGAAATTTGCTGGAGTTGAGGCAATTGCATCATTGGTGATGTAACTAGACTGTTGTAAGAGCCTGTGTTGATCAGAGAATCAATGTAACTATACTTAGCTTTGAACAAGTTGTTGTTGTTCTGATTCTGATTCTGATTTGGAAGCTTCCTTTGATTGATCCACATAATGAGCTTCTCCTCAAGCGACATTCCGGTGTCAGAGACTCGTCTAATCGACATCTCTCTCTCGATAGCCATCTCTTGTAAAACCTCAGCTATAAGCTCTCGTTTTCTCGCTGCTTCTGCAATAATGATCTCTTGACGGATTTTTTCTTTCTCAATTTCCCGTTGAATCATCGCTTCCCGAACTTGTTCCTCACTTTTTCCTACGAATACAAACCAAAAGTATTCAACAAGAGCACTTTAGATTTCAATTTTCAAGAAAATCAAGACTCTCACAGAAACAACAAAATTTGCTTTACAGAAACTAAAGAGTACTCAACAAATCAACATATACATAATAATCGCATCAACGAAAACCATAACAATGTTCTCTGACGGGGAAAATATACACGGCGATAGAAAACGATGATGAACAGTACAAACCTGACATTGATCGGGCCGAAAAGAAAGGGAAGCTCGGGTTCGGCGACTGAGATGGAGTCGTCTCCGTCGCAGGAGGTGGCCGATTACTGTCGATGGCTCTGTATCTGAATTCCATCGAATTCAAATTTGGAGAAAAAGCAGAGAAAGAGGGTTATCGTTTGCAATCGCTTTTACTTTCTGGTCGGTCGCTTTTCTTAAATAGTAACAGAGATAGTTTTTTTTTTTTTTTTTTTTTTTTTTCTCACTTTTGTGATAATATTAAGAGATTTTTTTATAAAAAACAAATTAGGGAATGTAATCATATGTAATTCTTAGCCAAATTTGGCTTTACGATACTAATTTATTAGAAATTTTCCAAATTTGCATTTAGGTTACTAATTTATTTGAAATTTGACTTCAAATTTAAATATTTTAATTTTTAAAATAACTTTTAATAATTAAAAAATTGAATTATATTTGTGTTAATCTTTAGCGGACTTCTCTATGTAAAAGTTACTATAGAGATTTGGTTTGTGAGGGTACTGATTGAAACAAATTATAAATTTAGTCAAATTTTAAATTTAGTCAATGTATCTTAGATGGTAAATTCTGTTAAAAAAAAAATTTATCTTTAGATTTGAATTATATTGTATTCAATCTTTAGCGGACTTCTCTATGTAAGGGTTACTAACTTGCTAGAGATTTGGTTTGTGAGGTGCTGATTGAAACAAATTTTAAATTTAGTCAATGTATCTTAGATGATAGTTTTGTTAAAAGATTTTATTTTATTTTTAGAATCTAATTATATTCGTGTTTAATCTTAGCGGACTTTTCTATGTAAAAGTTACTAACTTACTAGAGATTTCGTTTGTGTGATGTTGATTGAAACAAATTTAAAATTTAGTCAATGTATATTAGATGGTAATAATGTTTAAAATTCTTTTTATCTTTAGAATTTAGTTATATTCGTGTTCAATATTTAGCGGACTACTCTATGTAAAAGTTACTTACTAGAGATTTGGTTTGTGTGGTGCCGATTGAAACAAATTTTAAATTTAGTCAATGTAGTTTAGATGGTAATTTTGTTAAAAGGTATTTTTATCTTTATAGTTTAATTATATTCGTGTTCAATTTTTAGCGGACTTTTCTATGTAAAACTTACTAACTTACTAAAGATTTGGTTTGTGTGGTGCCGATTGAAACAAATTTTAATTTTTAGTCAATGTATTTTAGATAGTAATAGTATGCTCAAAGATTTTTTTATCTTCAGAATTTAATTATATTCGTATTCAATCTTTAGCGGACTTTTAATTATATTCGTATTCAATCTTTAGCGGACTGGTGATTGAGATCTGGTGTTTCAGAGATTACAGATTTCAATATGGACTTGGTGTTTTATGCAGATTGGTGATTGGACATGTCTTCATCTCATATAAGCACAAGTTGTTCATGGAAAAGGTTTGGTAGAAACAAGCCTAGAGTTGTCATCAGTAGCACTCATTGAACACTTTCTCTTGTCTTCTCTCTAAGCATTGTCAAGCATATGTACTTGTTTGTAATTATTTTTCACCATGTGTTCTCCAAAAACTCTTTTGTGTGTTGTAATTTTCTACTTTATGGTTTTGTAATAAACTTCTTTGGTGGCCATACGTATTTGATACATATTAGCTTGAAAATGCATTCAAAAACTTTTGTTTCTACCTAAATTTCAATCGGTGATAGTTAATGTATGGGATCCACATCCACTCCTTACCTTACTGTGATCAAAGGAAGACACCAAGCATATAAGGAGAAGAAGCTCACCTAGGAGAAAGGGGGCTGAGCTGCTCGGAGAAGCAACAAGAGGAGACATGACAAAAGCTCACGTAGAAGACGTGACGACGAATGCTCACAGAAGGATTTTGAAAGGGACAAGGAAGAAGAAATGACGGTTTTCCACCAAAATTGTGAAATCGTTTAGCATATTTTACAGAATTATGTTTTTTTTTTTTTTTATAACACGGAATCATGTTTTCTTATCAAAGTCGTAAAATTGTAGAATTTTTTATGCCAAAATTCTAGTCTTACAAACTTGATGGAAATATACAAAGATTTGTGGTTTAAATGTGAAAACATGATTCCGCGAGTTTTTAGAAAAATACTGATTTCAAGATTTTAATAGTAATCATACAATTATGCAATTTTCAGTTTTGGTTGGAAAACATTATCTATGTATTTTGCCAGGATGGTGCAATTTAGCTCATCTGGAATGAGATTTGCTATTCTCTCTCTTAAATCTCTCTTATTTTTTAGGGAGAGAAGGAGATCTCCCCTATTTTTCAGGGAGAGAAGGAGATTTCCGGTTAACTGGATTTCAATTCTGGCTTAACTGGTTTTTTGTTTATATAGTTTTCTAACTATAGTCAGATCTAAATAAATTCCAACTTACTTTTAGTTAAGTTTGGATTTATGTTTTCTTTCTTTCTACATGTTTTTAATCTTGATCTCGTTTGCTTTCAATTGATTTCCGTTGTCTTTCCGTTTGCTTGCCTTCTCTCTTACGTCGGAATAACATCTTCGTCGATTGCTGTGAAGTGAAGCAGACCTTAGTTAGGCCTTAGACGGAGTCTTGGTAAATTCAAGACGGCAGCGGTGGATTTTGATTGGATCTGCAACGGCGACATCTGTAAAAAAAATCCAGTGGTGGAATCTCGAAGCCGGCGGCGGAGCTGACTCGAATCGTGGATCTGACCGGAGCCGTCCATGTCACCCCTCTCCTTCTTGCGTATTTGACATCTGTCACTACGTGACACCTTCTTTTCTTAATCTTTTCTGAATAGTTAAGGTTAAGCTGCAATTATGTTAATTAGGGTTGTAAATTGAGGAGTTTGGACTTTCTATTTCATCACTTGTACTGCCCGGCTTTTATCAATGAATCTCTTGGTCGACCGAAAAAAATGAGATTTGCTATTTCCACGGGGAAATAAGGATAGAATACGGTGTGCGAAGTCATACTAAAACTCCCGTGAGTCAACAAATAAACAGACGCCATTCGTCAAGAACCAAAATGATCAACAATTAACCGTAGGATATATAATAATCCCGCAAAATAAACGGTAAAGATCTCGCGGTACACTCTGTATCTTAATTATTAAAGATTCACGTCGCTGGACACAACCACTAACCTATATTTTGTGGTTGTTTCGTGAAGTTTCTCTCTTCTTCTTCTTCAAGTCATCAAATCTGATCTCATCTCTGTTAATTAATGGCTAGTAATTGCGAGCTTTGCTGCGAGATCTTCATCGCAATTCTTCTTCCTCCTGTTGGAGTTTGTCTCAGGCATGGCTGTTGCACTGTAAGTTCCATCAAATTAAAAATTGAGATCTGTAATCTCTGAAATTTCACAGCTTCTTATTTCTATTATTGATTTGATTACGGTTATTGAAATTGAAATTGGTTGCGTTCCGGTTTACGGGAACCAATCTATAAGATGTTTGATTGAGGATCAATTACTAAAATTAAACATAATGAAGGGACTAGAAAATAAATTTTTAAAATTTTGTTTTTCCTAACTGATGATTTTTGTTTTGTTTTTGTTTAATGTGTAGGTTGAGTTCTTCATTTGTTTGATACTCACTTGCTTAGGCTACTTACCTGGAATAATATACGCGATTTACGCGATTTGTTTCTTGCACCACGATGAGTACTTTGATGAATACAGACGCCCAATCTACTATGTTGCTTGACCTTGTGATTTATTCATTGCTCTTGAGAAAATATTGTACTTTAAAGTGTGATTACTGAGGTAATAATATTTTTTCTTTTGAAGGAACAGAAAACTAAAAGTTATATTCTGGTTTATTTTAGTATACTTTGATGAATGCATAATGCCCAGTCTACTATATTGTTTGATTTTATCTTAGTGATCTGGTTATAAAACCATGGTTTTCTTTTATTCAGTGCAGAAATTTTATTTGTTCGACAAGAGAGATCTGTTATTAAGTCAGTTATATAAGTTATAACCATATCACACAACCAACCATATGAATGTTTTTTTTCTTTTGATCTGCGTTGAAATCCTATTTTGGGAATGGTGACAAAATACGGTCAATGCGATATAAGCGCACCGCACCACACTTTGCAAGTCATCGCTTAATGTGGAGAAATGGTAGTTAGCTAAATTAACTACATGTCACTCCATGGTCACACATCCATCCAAAGGTTGCAAATGTAAAATATAAACTATACTAATTAAATGTATGACATAACATACGATGTTAACACCATAACCATTATGTATCGGTATACCGTTCATTGGAATCCGATAAAGATCGGCGTTGATCCAGCATTAAAAAAAGGTTACGTGCAAAAAATCTTCCAACTCGCCAATTTTTGCAATTTTACCATCTACTTCAAAAAAATGCAGATTAGTTATATGAAGTCAAAATAATACACAATATAACCTTTATAAGTATATTGTAAATCAACAACACATAACTTAGAAGAGCAGTTCCAAAACTACATAAGTTCAATAGAGGAGATCGACGGTAGGATGATGATGGGATGATGATAGGAATAATCCCTTTTCTTCTAACGAAAATGTGAAAATTGTTGTTTCCGGCGCCGTGTTCCACAAGTTTCCGATCATCATAGTGATCTGATAAAATAGGATGAGATTGAATGATTAACAAGAAGATGATCAAGAAACAACAAACGACTGAAGATCTCATGTGCCTTTTGAACTTATAATTGATTCAATAAGGTATATATTTGAATCTGTTTCCTCAAATTGACAAAAAAAGAAGAAGTTTATGGAAAATGTCTACTTGTCTCAGCGAGTGATGCCGTGGTGGGAATTTATAATCAATCACTGGTAGGTACTTCATGAGTTGACCATCTTTGTTAAAACATAGATAATACAACTAAATCAGAGATAAGATATTAGTAATTCGAGTTGTGAGTGGCATGAATCAGAATTTTTTAAGGATTACATATTATGCATTAATATTTGTAGGAGGTTGTGGTATATAAACAAAAATATTATTTGGAGTTAATTAACACCCAATAAAGATAATTTCAAATATTTTGTTATTTTGTATATCAATTATAGTTGTTACCAAAAATACTTAATTAGATAATAACATATTGTATGATCTAAAAATGTTTTTGGTGATAAGATTTTGCTGCATTTAGTTGATCGGTTCTTTTTTCAATGGGTTAGACTTTTTGGTTTCTTCTTTGGCTTCACATTTTTCACAGGACCTGGACGTACTATCCGAACCCGAACAACCGAACCAAACCGAACGCGACCCGAAAAATCCGGCCCGAATCCGAATCCAAAGTTTTAAAATACTCAAACGGGTTCTAAACTTCACAACCCGAAAATCCGAACCCAAACCCGATCCGAACCCGAACCCGAACAAGTATCCGAACATATCCGCAATATAAGTACATAGTTATAATATATTAATAATATTTATCCTTGTAGTAACTAAGTGCCTAATAATTCGGATGTTAATGATATTTTCGAGTGTTTTAGCTACTTTTGGCTAGATTCGGGTAAACAATATTTGGGTTTTATAGATTGTTTGAGTATTTTTCAATACTTTGCATAGAAGCGGATACAAAATTTTTATTATTTGGATACTTCGTGTAAACCCGAATCTGAACCCGAAATATCCGAGCTGAATCCGATCCGAATCCGAAGTTTTTAAATATCCGAACGGGTCTTAATTGTTTAAATCCGAAATACCCGAACCCAAAAAACCCAACCCGAACCCGACCCGAATATCCGAACGCCCAGACCAATTTTTCACTAGCATCATCACATCCGAAGTTTAGTCAATATTTTTCTAATTGAAAAGCGTAAATTTAGTCTATCCTCTCAAACTCTTTGGACCTCCACTCTTTACAAAAATGTTAATTAATCAATGGTCTCGCAAAGGTTGACTCTCGAGATATTATTTTTGTTAATGAGTAATGGTACTACCATTATATCTGAGCTTCTTTAAACGATAATTAATTAGATTATCAACAAATGTATGTTTTTTTTTTCTCACCCTGAAATGTTCAAAACTCAAGATGAACGAAAAAAACCAAAGATGTAACAAAACTGAACCAAATCTTCCAAGTATATTATGATATTAACTCAAAACTTTTATAAAAAAATGATTCAGACTACTCAAGTAAAACGTTTTAAGACTTCGCCGTCGAGAACCATATACTTTTAGAGCAAACTCTGGCATGCCTCAACTTCCGCGGCCTGCGAATCCAATACAGACTGTCCCGATGGACTCTCGCGAACACTCAGTATAACTGCATCAAGTACGGCTTTTCTGAACCACTCATCTTCCATCTTCATCAGTACCTTTTTCACCAGCTCGAAGTCTAATACTTTCGCTGAGACCAACTTCCCTAAGATCTCTCCGAAGCTGTTTGGTGCTTTTGGCAGATCGATTCCAATGTCATCCAACATAGAACCATAGAGCAAACAACCCGCCCCTAAGTCTTTACATGTCAGCACATTCTTCGAGATCAGATGTTTCAAGAGTTTGGTAATTGGTTCAACCAACGGAGGGTTTTTCTCTAGACCGAGTGAGATGGCTTCCTTGACGAGCTCCGGGTGATAAGATGGAGATTTCAGTTCCTCAACGCATTGCAATGCCTCATCCTCTAAACGGACACTAAAATACTCTTCAAGAAGCGACTTGGTTTTTCTTTCGAGCTCTCCTGCGCTCAGGTTATTAGCCAGAGGAGCCGCCTGTCGCTGTGGCTGTGGCTGTGGCTGAGGTTGAGACCGTGGTTGTGGCTTCTCAACGGTTGGAATGGGTTTAGAGGCTTGAGGAGCTGAGCTAGAACCGTTACCTTGCACAAGAGCGCTTGGCCTACCACCACCATTGAGGAGACCTCCGCTACCCTGAGGAAGAAGCCTTGAGTTGACTGAGAGTGACTTGTTGATAGCAGGAGGTGGCTGAACACGCGGCTGCTGCACTGTTTGTCTATTACCTCTGGGCATGGACCGGGTCCGTGGTACTTCCCAGCCGCCTTCATCAACAATAGGCACCATCCTAGTTCCTGGCATGCCGGGCATCATTCCTCCAGTACCAGGACGGCCAAGGATATTTCCAGAGCCAATACTGTCTGCTGCACCAGAAACCGCAGCGCGGTTGTTGTTGTTGTGTCTCATATTTGCCATTGCACCCGGACGCAACCCAAGATTTCTCTCTGCCTCAGAATGGATTTCATTGATTTTCTTCGCTTTCACCTGCCATTAAATAAGTACAACAACACGTAAGCACAGATCAAGAACTAAAGATTGTTATTAAAGATTTGAGATGGAATGATAAAATCTTACCTCCTCACGCCTTGGTACCCATTTGTTAGCTCGCATATCAACAACGTTTTGGACCATAAATCTGAGACGCAGCTCTAGCTGAGGGTGCATTGCTAGCTCCTTCAACCGACCGAAGTACATGTCATTAATACCTCGAGATCGTGGGCTGTTATCAAGTTGCTTCCCGATGGTTATAAAAAATTGGCAGAGAGCTTCAACATCTCCCTCTGCTGGGCAAGCTTTACTATCTTCTCCTAAAAGCTCCTGTATAACCAGATTTTAAGTTTAATGAGCTCTACAAGGAAACACTATATGTAATATAGACTATATAACAAAAAAAAAAATAGAAACATGGGTCATACGTACTTGGACAATATGATGAACTATCTTCTCGGTCACCATCTTTTGCTTCAGAAGTTCTCCAATCAGACGAATATTTCCAAGTGTCCGGAGCTTCGCCATTTTCTCCTTATCCATTCTTTCCATTTCTTGGTCTGGATTAGTCATCTGTCTGATTTCTTTCTTCAATTTGCCAGTACCCTCAAATGCCTCTTGGCAATTATTTAAAAGGACTCTTTTAAAAGTTATTTCTTTCCCACCAGGTTCCTCAGATGGAAACGAAGGGAGCTTTCCGTTAATATCAAAACACAGAAGAGCATACATCTCGCAGAATGTCGGCTGCAGTATAGCATTCTCAAAAATTAGCTGTATCACTTCCTGCAATCAAAGGTAAGAGCAAATCAATACCATGAAAGAGAGAACTACAACAATAGAAATCAGGAATTGAAAGAAACCTTTAGGATATCAGCAGAATCGATGCCAGCATCAATCAATTGACCTTTAAGAAGCTCGTACTTCTCCGGAGTAAGCTTGTTCAGAATACTGCATAGAATCATAGTTGTAAAGAATCAGTCAGAATATACATCATAACTAACTTCAAGCAAAAAAAGCTGAAAAGAATAGTATTAGTTGTTGACAATACCCTTTCACGCTCTTGACGACTCGGTCTTTATCTGAAAGAGCTCCTCTTTTAGCTGACCACGGAACCTCCGCTTTAACCAGCACAGGGGTAGGACCAGACTGTTTCAAAAGATGATCATATTAGCAACAGAAGAAAACTAGTATCGGTACACCAACAGATAACAAGTAAAGAAAACTTACCCCTTGAGATGTATTTTTAGCTTCACGTGAGTCGTCTCTAAACCATTCTTTACCAGAGGTCGGAATCTGCACACGACTATGCCAGTCGCGGTTATCAGGCTCGGAATAACGATTCAGAGGTTGATTTGTTAGCTGAAATCAAACAAACAAGAATGTGATTTTAAAAGACAGATTCTCAAGAAGTGTAAAAAATAAGCAAAACAGGAAGATTACACACACACACTCACTTTACTCTCGGCTACACGATTCCCCCAACTCTGATCTTCGCCGAAAAGCTCAGCTGCGATTTCCTTACATCGTCTAAGAATTTCATCAGAGACTTGAACAGACTGTGATTAAGAAACACAATTGTGACTAATTTGATTCACAAAAGACATAAACAAAGCCAAGCTATTATCAAAATTCACAGAATTAAGTAAATACCTCTCTATGCTGAAGCAGCTGTTCTCGGGTAAACCTCAAACGTTCACCAGAATCATCTCTCTACAAAAACATAAAATTTCAAGAGCTCAGGATTCCATTACACAACACAAGTATCAATCTTTGTCCATATTAACATTACTTAACTTCCCACAAGTATCAATCTTTGTCTTTTTTTTTTGGTGGACAAAGTATCAATCTTTGTCTATATTCAAATTTAACAACCCTAAAAGATCCAAACTTTATACAAAATTCGATTCAAAATCACGGAATCGAATCCAACCCTTAATTATACACCTTGTTTAAACTCCAAAATTGTGAAAAATAGACCATGAAATCAAATTGAAGAGAAACAGAGGATTTCAATGTGTTACCTTGACGGGAAAAGGGGTTTCTCCGGCACCGCCGCCATTGGTAAGATCAAAAGAGGAAGAGGAGCTAAATCGTGGGACGAAAAGCCTGCTTCTGCCGCCGCCACCGCCACCGCCGGGTCTCAAACTCAAAACCGATGGTTCACCTTGTTGTTGCATTACTCGATTCTCTTATTTTTTTCTCGCGATTAGGAGGATTGAATAAAATAAAGTATAAATTTTTTTGCAGATAGATAGAGCTATATAGCGTATATATATGTGTATTGACGGTGGAGAAGATAATAAAATCACTTCGATTCCCTTTTTTTTTTTTTTTGAAGCTGTGTTCTGTGTTTTTGCCCTAATTTCCTTTTCTTTTTTTTTTTTTGTTCTTTTCCCTTTCTTTGATTTGTTTTGTTCACGTGTAAATTATATTGTTAATTACGAAATTATCCTCTATATATCATCTCCAAAACAAAATAATTTAATTTTTGGAAACATATTGATGGAAAATCTCTTACAAAAAAAAAGAAAATAATCTGGAAAATCTTACAAAATAAAGACTTAAAAGTTTTCGTATTTATTGCATCATTATCAAAATACAAATCTACTAGTGTTTCAAGATTTTATCATTAAAAGTGTTTTTGGCATGGCTCTTGCATGAGTTAAAGTATTACCTCTATTTATTAGTTATCTATAACTCCAACCAAAATATAAAAAAATAACTACTCCATCCGTTCTAAATAAAAAAATTTCTAGAGTGGGATGTGCTTTTAGTCAAGTGGTTAAGTCCACTTGACTCCGCCTTCTCCACTGGAGTTCACTAAGTCGCGTTATCCCGCGTAGTAGGGATTAGCTATGAATCGGGCCTTGTCGATCCAAAGTTGTCAAAAAAAAAAAAAAAAAATTTCTAGAGTTTTTACACTTGTTAAAAATATTTAATTATAAATGCTCCATAAATCTAAACAAATAACAATCAATAAATGAATGAATTTTTTTTTGACATCTTTGGATCGACAAGACCCGATCCATAGTCAATCCCTACTATGCGGGGTAACACGATTTAGTGGAGTCGAACTCCGGTGGAGAAAGCAGAGTCAAATGGACTTAACCACTTGACTAAAGGCACATCCCCTAATAAATGAATTTTTCTAATCAATAGTTTTGAAGTTTTTAATTTGTTATCATTAATTATGAAAAATACAATAAAAAGCTAAAAAGCATACATCTTTAAAAAAAAGAAATTTTTTTGTTTAGAAACCGAATGAGTATGGCTTTATTTTTTTAGTTCCTTACAAATTTCACTGATCTTTTATGTTTGTGAATTTATAGTATATTTGTCAAATATACATCTGTATAATAAGTTAATAACCATTAATATTTGGTTTTTAAATATATTTTTTTAATATGCATGAATTCTTTTGCAAAAAGATTAATAACTTTACTTTTCTCCCTTTAAAATTAGGAATATGATATTCCTAAAATATATAAAGTAATCAGAGGCTACTATTGGAATATCATAGACGAAATTATCAATTAATGTCACATAATATTATCTGATCCTGTCATAATACTAAGAAACAAATATTTTTATAAATTTCCCGTTTTAACCCCGATTGCTTCATATAATTGGGCCCTTTGTTTTAAAAGCCCAATAAGCCCATTACAAAAAAACAATAACGTTTAGCATCCAACAATAACTTGAGAAACGACGTAGTTTCATTCTCCGCTGCGTTTTATTCTGGATAAGAGCTTCGCGAAGGTTTGAAACCTCTGAGTGAAGAAGAAGCGCCATGGCTGGGATTACCAGCACCGTCGGATTCAACGCCGTTTTCGCCGGAATAACCAAAACAGAATTTTCACATTCACTATTCTCCGTCGATTCCAAACTCTGTGGACTTCGTCTCTCCAAAACCGAACTTTCCTTCGCAAATCTCACTCCTACTCCTCGCCGTGGCTTCACCGTCACTTGCCGCTTCGGCGGTGGTGGTGGTGGTGGCGGAGGTTATCGTTTCTCTGGAGATTCTAGACGAGGTAGGCCTAAAGAAGCCGAAATTGATGAAGCGCTTGATATCTCCTCAATTAGGTGAGGCTTCTTAAGCATAATTGTGAATTTGAAATCTCTTGCTGATTCGATTTGTTGATGATGATAATGTCTCTGTTTGAGTAGGTCAGCTACTGTTAGGCTTATCGATGGACAACAAAACATGGTAAAATTGACTCAATGTCTTTGAATTTAGTGAGAATTGAGAGCTTTGATTCGGCAAAATAGACTCATAAATTTCCAGTTTGTTTTGGTCTCTATAGCTTGGTTTAGTGTCTAAAGACGAAGCTGTTCGAATGGCTGATGATGCTGAGCTTGATCTGGTATGTGTTTTTACTTGTGAATGTGATACATTAGCATTTTGTGGTATATGCAATGTTTTTCGTATGATATGCGTCTGAGAACTGAATCGGAGCTTGAATCGACAACTCAATGTGCGAATAATCGGTGAAATTGAGCAAATAGATGGAAGATTGCGCTAGAATCGAAGCGATATCAGAGCAAATAGTAGAACATATGCTCTGATACCGTGTTAGCATAACCGAGTTTGTGATAAGCATTGTGGAAGATTTATGTTATTCTCTTATTAAAGAAGAAGAATGTTTATATCGGTATACTAGACACAAATTGATTAAGCTAAACCAACCAACTATAGTTGATAGATTGTGTTGGTTTTTAGGTGATATTATCGCCTGATGCAGATCCTCCGGTTGTTAAAATGATGGATTACAGGTGAGTATCTAAATATGTATTGAAATGGCTCCTTATATGTATACCTAACCGCGCAGAATTATAAGCGATATTACTTTTTTTTTTTGTGTTGTCAGTAAATACAGATACGAACAGCAAAAGAGGAAAAAAGATCAGCAAAAGAAAAGTATTGACTGTTCCTCTCCTTCTTAGTTTTAGAGTTGGAGATTATACGCTTATTATGTATTTTTTCTTGTGTTATATCGTATCAGCCACTCGCATGGACTTAAAGGAGCTTAAAATGGGGTACGGCTTTCGTTTTTGTTTGTGATGTTGCAAATGACTTCTTTAGAACTAAATTTTCTCAAAGGTTACTGCTTTTTTTCTCTGACAGTTACAACATTGATCAGCATGATTATTCCGTTCGGTTAAGGGCTGCCCAAAAGTTCTTGCAAGATGGTGACAAGGTTGTTCCCATATTCTTCATAAGCTGCGAGAGTTCTGTCCCATCTTAATGCATTTTGTTTATGCACTACTTGTAATGCACACAGGTTAAGGTGATTGTGAGCATGAAAGGACGAGAAAACGAGTTCAGAAATATCGCTATTGAACTCCTCAGACGTTTTCAAACCGAAATAGGGGAGGTAACATGTTCTTTCTCCTCTCTTTCATGTATATAGATGTATGGTATCAGATTGAAATGACTGGATCACTGAAACTTGTTCTGGATCTGTAGCTTGCGACTGAAGAGAGCAAAAACTTCAGGGACAGAAACTTGTTCATTATCTTGGTACCAAACAAGGAAATGATTCGGAAACCACAAGAACCACCCTCGAGAAAGAAGAAAAAACAATCGGAAAACGAAGTTTCAGCTGCAGAAATAACGGCTGAGCCTCTACAAATCGAGTCTGGAGTTTAAATCTTGTGGTAAGGATTTTGAGAGCTAAAGTAAAGTTTTGTATATTTACTTTCCTACCATGTCTCAAGAGAGTCAAGAGCTGTATAACAGATAGAATTAGTCCTATTTGAATGATGTTCTTCTTTGTAGATCTTTTCTCTAATCTATTTTTTGTTTAACTTCTTAGCTTAGTTTATTCACACTTACTAGTATAGATTTACTATTTCGTGTGCAAAATGCAATTTACCTAATAGCCAATCGTTTTTATATTACACTGATCACAAAACTAATTGAGCTTACATGTGTATAATTAAATTGCATATTCTTCATTGATTTTTCTTTAAACCTCTTCACATCTTTTTCCTACAAGTTAAAGACAAAATGGCAGAAGAAAATGCGAGCCAAAAAGGGCAATTTACAAGTCATTTTTTTTAAGTGTGTTGTTGTTAAGGCCATGGAATCTTGCTTAATGTCAATAATGGAGACTCTGCATCATTTCTTACTTCTTCTGCTTCTTTCTTCTTTTGTATCATATGAGTCTTGAGGCTTCTCTCTTCTATCTGTAATTTCACAACAAAAAACTCGGTTTCTCGTGTTGAACCATCAACCATATTAGATTCTTGGATTATTGTTTGATTTGTTACCTCCATGACTGCAGTTGATGTCAGAAGATTTTCGCATTTGTCAAGCAAAAAGTTCTCCTTTTTAGCTATAACAGCGAGATCCGAAACAAGTTTATTCATTTCCTCCATTTGCGAGTGTAGAGACCAGATGGATGATCCCATACTCTGCATTACATCAAGAGCTGAGGACATAGCTAGCTTCAGAGATCCGAGGTCCGCCTGTGATCACAAGAGGTTTTACAAAATCAGAACTCGGTTCTTGGTCTTCGACTTGTTTTCTAGTTCTCTCTGAAATCTTAAACCATACCTTTGTTCCTCCGGCTAGTGGAAGCCGAAGTGTATTTGCTTCCAAGTCCCCAATTGCTCCAGCTAAAGAACTAATGTGTTCTCTCTCAAGCATGGCCCAATCCTCAAGGCAAACCATCTGCGCAAATACTTACATTTAGATCATGAGGATGATATTTTGATGAATACAAATGCGAGTGAAGACATACCTGATCATTTAAGATGGATTCTAGCTTGATTTCTAGCTTCAACTGTTGGAGACAAATTCTTTGTGTTGTCACGAGATCCCTTAAGTCTGATATTGCATGCCAAACATTGTATAGTGTTTCCTGCAACCACAAGATTGTTAAAACAGAGAAGATACACTTGATACAATTTCACTTGTTTCTGTTTTGAGTATTTTACCTCAGCTATTAAGCTTTGAATATAGCTAACTCCCTCAGCTCGAGCATTTGCAAACCGCCATTGCGAATATCTGTTATAGAGCAAGCGTAGTTGATGAACATCTTCAATGTAAGTCGCTTTTTTTCCTTTCTTGACATCCGCAATGAAGCTAAGAACCGAGGTTGTGTTACTACTGGATTGCGCGATTTGTCTTATCGGGGAAGGACTTACACCTCTTGATGGCGGTGTAGACGATCTCACAAAAGAGCGGTTTCCCACTCTTGAAGGACTCAATCCTCTCATAGGACTCACTCCTCTTGAAGGACTCATGCCTCGAGAATTAGAGGATGATGATGAAAATGAGGATCTGCTTGGTGAAGCAGCGCGTGATCCAGGAGCAGACATTGGATGCAACCTAGGTAACGAACTAGCAGAAAAAAGCTTGAGAGACTCAGTGCTACTACTATCTTCTGAAGTTGTTGAAGACAAAACTTCTAGTCCACCATTTTCATAACAAGACAACAACCTTTCTATGTCACTAGAAGACTTATAATGCAAAGGTTTAGAGCTTTTCTTGGACAAAGGCAATGACACTCTCCTGCCCGCTTTATCGCCAAGATCAAAGCTTCTGTTCCCCCTAATTCGACTAGGCCATCGATGCTGTGGTGGTATTAACCTACTATGAGAAGAACCATCCACAGGTTTTGAATTCTCTGATTGACCAGAAGACACATTCTTTCCCTTCAGTGGACTTCTTTTCCTCTCGGGCATATGTTTAGGCGACACAGAGGTTGTCTCATTCTGCTGCTTATGCGCTATATTCGAAGAAGACGGTCTCAATGTTCGATCAATCGAAGAAGTAACAAGCGGTTTCTCCTTCTTACTAACAGGAACTGAGACTGAATCAGACTGAAAAGAAACACTGAGGCTTCTCATAGTAGAAGGCCATAAGCTTTCAGGTAAACGACCAGTAGATAGTCTCCTAGAAGAAACCGGTAAATCTATCAATACATCACTAACCGGTGTAGACGGAGTAGTTGGTGTCGAAGGACCACGTTTCCTTTCCGCTGAAACAGCTCTTTTCGACAGAGATTGAGAGGCTGAAGGAGACACAGTCCTGGTGACATTAGGTGAAGGACATCTCCGAGTTTTAGTAGGAGTAGGTGATCTGTATCTTAAACTAACCTCCATTGTTCTAGCACGGCGCGTCACAACAACCGCATTGTTCTTCTCAGTTGGAACAAGAGGCGGTCTTGTAGCATCTGTTACCGATTTCTGCTGCTTAGCCATTGATGATTTCTTGGCACCATATAAAACTTCCATTCAAGCTAACAAAAACCAACTTGCACTGATTTGATTCAGCAACTAATGTTTCTCATTGTAGACTCCAAAAGTAAGATACCTTCCAGATGAGCAAGATGGAGCAAAAGCAGAGAATATTTTAGATAAAGATTAAATCTTCACAACAGAGAGACACAGATCAAGAATCACTTAAAGAGAAAAAGAAAAAAAAAAAGTGGTAAGATCTTTTTTTGATCAAGAAGTTAAAACAGATCAAGACATATAAATTGAAAAAAAGACAATCCTTGGTCCATGGGACAAGCTGACTAATTTCAAATCACAATAAAGTAAGTTAGGTCCCAAAAGAAAAAGTGACAACAAGAACAAGCTGAGACCTAGCAGAGTTAAAGAAAGGTCTAGTACTAGTACTAGTAGAGTTTCACAGTTTCAGAGATATTCTTAATTTCAATCAAAGACTTTAAAAACTTCTGAGCCAAAAAAAAACAATCTTTTTCAGTGTCATTGTCACGGGTGTGCCATGGTCGGATGGGCTGGAGAAAATTTAATGGAGATTTCACAGACCCACCTTTCTTCTTCTTCTCATCAAAATAAAAACCTCAAAGTTAACAAAAAGAAGTTTCCTTTATTAGCATCTCAAGAATTATTAATAATGCATTTTAGAAACAGTTTTTTTTTTTGTTATAATAATGTTATGAGTTATTAAAGAATTAGCAAAAATGGAGATTTTGCAGATTCATCTGTTTCCTATATGGGAAGAGACAAAGAGGACCACGTCTTTAGAAGAATCAATCAGTGTCTACTCTTTGATAAAAATGGTGAAAACATTTGCAGTAATATAGTGACAATAATTTCAAGATTAATATATAGTTTATGTTTTGACCATTTGAGAAAAAAACTTCATAATTTCTTGGGAAAATAAAGCTCGTGAAACAATGAAATCTGGGATTCAGAAACCAAAAATAAAAATGAGAAGAATACAAAAAAATTGTCTGAGAGTGAACACGACTTGTGTCTGTGAACAAGCAGACAAGTTTTAGCGATTAAAACTATTTTTGGAATTTATTTATTTTAATTAAATTCTGCAAAATTTTAAACTGTTCTTGGCTTCTTCATTAAAATCTCCAGAAACGGAAACAAGAATTTGACATTCTTTTCAATTATATTACACGTGATTTTGTTATTTCTAATTTTGAATCAAATTAATCAACAAAACATTTTTAGTGGATTTGTCTCAGATTAAAATCCAGAAAAAATAATTAGGGTTTCTAATTTTTATCAAAATAGTGTTAACACTTAAACAGAAATTACCACTGAAGAAAAAGCAAATTAAAATAACAAATTCGAAGTGGGAAATTCGAGAAACTCACCTGAAAATCGAGAGAGTGATGAAGAACGCTTGATCCCCAAGTAACCAAACCCCAGAAATTGTTCTATCTCCGACAATTTTTGTTTTTGAAACTCGGTAAAGACGCAACAGAAGAGAACAAAAGTTTTTGTTTTAACTTTTTTTTTGTTACATTGTATTTAGATCGTTGACAAGACTTTGCTATTTTCAAAATTTTCAACATATGTTTGTTAGTATTTTTTGGGTAACCGTAAAGAGAAAATGTTATTCGTTATATATATATTACATCATTGACCCTACAAAACATCGTATGATGATAATTGTCATTTTGACAATTTTAATGTTAATATTTAAGTGATTACTTTTGGAAGTGTTGATTTTATACAACCATTTGAAGAAAAAAAAAAGATTATGGTGTATCTTATGAAAAAGTGATAAGCAACGTTTCCCGAACTAACCAAAGGTATATCATTTTTTCACAACTTCACGATTTTACGTTTTGAAAATATAATTCCATTATTTTTTTACTATTTATAGTATCATTTTAAGTTGTTATGTTTTTACTTTTTTAAAAAAAATGTGATTCCATCTTATATATAAAGAGCGTTTTAAAAATAATTAAAAAAATGTCATTAACCTACTTTTTTTGTTCACCATCATTAATCTACTAATACTAGTTTTTAGCGTTGATAATTTTGTTAAAAATTTGTCCAGTACACTTATCCCGTTATCTGATTATTTGACTATTCCGCTATTATACTATTCAGCTGATATTACCAGCCGAATCCATAATATTGTACATATTTAAGAAAATTTAAAATTTGTCTAAATAGAGGAAAGAAATAGCAAAAATCTAGCATATAGTCATGTATTTTGGAACTCAACAAACGATTTCATTTTAATTAATGATTCTACAACTATATAGTTGATTATATACTAATAATTCATACTTTATAAAAATTTAACTTAAATATTTTCAATATAATTTACAAACAAATTAGACTTATTTGTTTTGAACAACATAGGATTCCATCACTGAAATAAAATTCTTTTGTTTGGAAAAAGGTTTAGTCTCTTTCTTGTTACTCTTCTTAAGTGGAGAGAAATTAATTCAACTCCTTTACGGTTTTTCTCTTACTTCTATTTTTGGTTAAGTGCTCTTACTTGTTTGGTTCCACAATTTTAACTCTACCTACCACTCACCAAATCAGACTCACAGTTAAATGTTTTAAGAAGATATCACTACAAGAAATTGAAGTATTGATAGTTGATATATCCCTCAATTTTAGATAGCGTTTGCCAAAGTGTAAACGCTATGTTTGGTTGGTCAAATTTTAGTTTTGAAAATGCATTTTAGAAATGTAGAATATATAACATTTGTATATTTTGAAACGCTATGCATTGTTGATGCGGAAAAAAATATTTTTTTTGCCCTCTAAATACTTAGCAAAAAAGAAGCGGCTAACAAATTTTCATTCTCCCTCTCATTCCATTGTTTCATTTCTCAAGATTTTTTCTCACTATTTGTTCATCTCTCGATACTCATCGAAGAAATTCCTTGCCCTTTCGTCACCAATTCGCCGAACTCAAAACCATATATGCTTCTCCTCTGACGAAATTTTTAATCCAGATGCAAAACCAGATTAGTCATCTTCCTCTTCTCCACCCAAAAAAACCCTAGTTACAAGCCCTCTTTAGTAAATACAGAAAAAACGAGGACAAATAAATTCTCAAATCATGTCGTTGCTCTCCCTTTCACTCTCCATTGCAAAATCAAACCTTAGCCACTGTCAAAGCAAGCGAGACATGGGCTCACTCAAGGTATGGAAGAAGATCCGTCTTAGATTCAAACGAACCATTCTATTATCTTATTGAATCGATTTAGCATCACTTTTGTTGTTCAAATGATGTCTGTGATACTGATCTGTTATTGCGAACTAGTTAGCCTAATAATTTGATTAATTTTGGTAAACGTATTAATAGACAAAACTTCATCTCTCTTGCTTCGCCCTCTCATCTTTGTGAGAGAAAGGGAAAGTCTCTGTAATTATTTTTCTCATCCATCAATTCTCTTTGGTAAGACTCGTTTCTCTCAGATCTGTGACGCTTCATAATCATTGTTTTTCTTGTTTCTTCAATTTGTTTTCAGTTTCTTAGATCTCAAAGGTAATTGAGATATTTCAACTTGTAGATCTGTTGTTTAGATAAGAAATGATGGTATCTTCTTGCTTGTATTCCAATTGCAGCATATTCACAGTGGAAGGAAGAGGCGGCGGAGATGGTAGTGACGTGGTTCAACTGTTGCTTATGGTACAAAGTGAGTGTACGAAGAGAGCGATGAAGAAAGCACATACGTTAATCTAATCTAGATTAATCTTGAACTCTCAGGTGAAATTCTATTTGGCTTTCTCAAGATTTGGTTTACACATTGAATATGACCAAATCTGTTTATGGATTTGGCTCAAAATCCCTTTGAAATCTGTTTTATCTTTCTAAGAATTAACGTGTGTTTGCTTGATTAGTAGTATTATTACTAATTATTTAAGCAACTGTTTCTTAGTCAAGAGATTGTTATTAGAGTCAACATAAACATAGTGAATCCACAAACAATTCTCTAAGAACAGGGCAGCTCGATAAGTGGAGGTGTTATTAGATTAGCATTTTGATTCTATGCTAATCTCTCATCTCTTTTCAGACGCTGTTCAGCGATGGTGGCTGTGGAGCCGATTTCACTATTGAGTGGAGGTCCTTAGCATGCAGACTTAAATGTAAGATCACTACTTTTTACCATTATTCATTTATATATTTTGGGTCTTTTTACCGTATATCTTGGCACCGTATCATTTAAATCGTTAGGACTACTTTTGGTTATATATAGTCCTTAGAGATCATTAGAGGACTAACTTTTTATAGAGACACTTTTAATTGTTTATGGATAATTTTAATGTATTCGCAGGAGAAGAGCTTGAATAATATTCTTCTCTTATTTCAATTGCTATTTGAGACTATTAAATTCAGATTGTTAATGCTTCTTTGTCTTTATGTGTTTTTGTAGTTGAGACTGATATGCAATCTGGAGCAAGATACAAGTACGAGGTGTGTTTGTACTCTACTCACCTTTACTTTATAGTTTTCAGTATAACTAATTATAGTTAAAAAATGTTACTTTGGATAGGTGGCTTCGTGGGGGCTTTGGTAATTCAATATTTGACTAAATGTGATGTCACAGGTTCACACATGGAATTCGTATTTTTGGGGAGATGACCTGAATGTGTTGTTGGACCAACCAAAGAGGTTTGATTTTTCTATAAACAGTAGGATTAACATTGAAGTGTTAGTTTGTTGCAGGTTGAAGCTGAATATTGTTGGTGTCGGATCCCGCACCAGAGGTTCGGGACCAACCAAAGATTGCCACGTAGTTGGGTTAACGGCCCATAAGGGATAAAACCCGTTAGACCCGCAAGTCAAAGGAACATTCGAAGTGGTTATCACTATAAGAAGAATCCGAAGTGACTGCACCTCGACACAATTCCGGAGACGAAGTCACGGTTAAGTTGGTCCAAGGACATTTGGGCCAAAAGGCGAGGCCCATGAAGATCGGAGTCAACACAAATTCGAATGTTGAGCATTAAAGTCAAAGACCAAAACGGTCACATTTAAGAGAGAATAATTGTACTTAATTAGCCAATTAAATGTCATTTTTCTATGTATAAATATAAAGGTCAATGGCCATATAAAGGGGATTTTCTTCTCAAGTAAGAAATACTATAGCAATTTTTGTAGCAATTCATAAGCTTTTTGCATATTTATTTTTGTCCCTCAAGAGTAATCTTTCCTACTTAATAAAAATACTTGAGTGTGTGAATCCGACATCCACATTTTGGCGCCGTCTGTGGGGATCGAGGATTCTTGAGTGGTCAGATTTTTCTTTACTACATTTCCGAAGATAAGCAACAATGTCCGGAGGAGACGCTGCTGAATTATCATTGGCCGAAACCCTTAAAGCCATGCAACAAACCATGTCGGAAATGTTGCAGAAGTTCTCGAATGTGGAAAAGGCTGTCGACACGTTACAAACATCTCATGTATCTCTTAGTCAAAACGTCAGTACTATACAAACTCGTGTTCGCTCTTTAAGTGCAGGTAACCCTGTGGGTATCCGAAGAAGGATATTCAACTTGCCAAGTTCCGTTGCGCGAAATGAAACCAGCGGACAAACAACTCTTGGTGCTACTAATAATGTAGTTCAGCCATTGGAGGAAGAGACACAGCTCGAAGGTGAAGTTCAACTTGCAGATCAATACGAGCAGGAAAACCTCGACCAGTTCGAAACTATGAGGAAGGTTAGCCAAGAACTAAAAGAAATGAAGTCAAAGTTCCATCAGGCTACAAGTTCGGAGCCGGATATCAATCGAGTTATTGAAGAAGCTAGGCGAACACCTTTCGTTCCGCGAATCGCAAGTTTAAGAATCAAAGATTCTCGGAAGCTCAAGTTGGACCCTTACAGCGGATTGGAGGATCCAAAAAGCTATCTCGCAGCTTTCCTGATAGCTGCCGGAAAAGTCGAATTGGATGAAGCCGATGAGGATGCAGAGTACTGTAAGCTCTTTTCGGAAAATCTATGTGGCCAAGCTCTAATGTGGTTCACCCAATTAGAGCCGGGTTCGATCAGCAATTTCGACGAACTGTCAGCTGTGTTCTTAAAACAATATTCCATCCTTATGGACAAAAGTGTTTCGGATGCCGATCTTTGGAACCTGTCACAATGATCAAATGAGTCACTTCGAGTTTTTATCACCAAGTTCAAAGGAGTGCTGTCAAAGCTCCCAAGAATCTCGCAGCAATCAGCTTTATCTGCCCTACGAAAAGGATTGCGACATGATTCAAGGTTCAAAGAAGATTTAATACTTCATAAACCAGACACGATTCAAGATGCACTCTTCCGTGCAAACAACTGGATGAAAGTAGAGGACGAAAAAGAAAATTTCGCCAAAAGAAATAAACAAGAGAAGCCGGCAATCACCGTCCCTATTAAGAAGTTCGAATCTAGGGAGAGCAAAGGACCAAGAAAATTTGGATCTCAACCCTTCAACGGTATTGTCGGAAAGCAATTCCAAGGAAAAGGAAAGTCAAACACTTGGGTCCGTGATGAAAGTTTATATTGCGATATTCATAACGTAACCGGACATTTAACCAAGGATTGTAGTGTCCTTAAGAGGCATCTCGCGGAGCTTTGGGCCAGTGGAGATCTTTCCAAATTCGATATAAAAGATTTCGTAAAGGAATACCACAAATCAAAGGATAACTCCAAAGATCAAAATTCTAAAAGACCAAAGTTATCCAATGAGGAAGAGCCAAGGAGTTCGAAGGGTAAGATCAATGTTATTCTAGGAGGTTCCAAATTTTGTCGAGATTCGATAAGTTCCATCAAAAAACATAGGCGAAATGTTTTACTCAAATCAAGTTTGAGTGAAGAAGTCGATTTTCAAGGTGCATCAATATCATTTGACGAAGAAGAAACGCGGCACCTCGAGAGACCTCATGATGATGCATTAGTTAATACCCTGGACATTGCTAACTTCGAAGTATCAAGGATTCTTATCGATACGGGAAGTTCGGTCGATCTAATCTTTTTAAGTACTTTAGAAAGAATGGGAATTAGTCGGGCAGACATAATGGGGCCTTCATCTCCGTTAGTGGCCTTCACAAGTAAATCGGCCATGTCCCTCAGAACCAGTCCTAGCCAAACGGGTGTCAAAGATTGTGGATTTTGTTGTCTTCGATAAGCCTGCGGCTTACAACATCATCCTCGGGACTCCCTGAATTTATCAAATGAAAGCAGTCCCCTCTACATATCATCAATGTGTCAAATTTCCAACATCAAGTGGAGTGGAAACAATTCGGGGAGATCAAGAAGCTTCACGAACGTGTTATCTAGCTAGCCACCGTATGAAGATTCAATAGCAATTAACGAAGCCCGCAAAAGAGGGACTAAGACCAAAATTTCCTAGCGGGTAGAAGAAAGATGATGTAGTAATCGAAGTGGTGTTGGAAGAAGACAAACTGGACCGGAAAATTCGAATTGGGGCAACTTTGATTGGCCAAATAAAAGAAGCTTTGATCGAACTCTTGAGAAAAAACATAACATCATTCGCATGGTCAGCGGCGGATATGCCTGGCATAGATCCAAGCATAATTTGTCATGAACTAAACGTGGATCCAAGCTTCAAGCCGGTAAAACAAAAAAGAAGAAAGCTCGGAGCGGAGCGAGCAAGAATAGTAAATGACGAAGTGGACAAACTCTTAAAGATAGGATCCATAAGGGAAGTGCAATACCCGGAATGGATAGCAAACACTGTCGTTGTCAAAAAGAAGAATGGAAAAGATAGGGTTTGCATCGACTTCACAGACCTCAATAAAGCATGTCCCAAGGACAGTTTCCCGCTCCCGCATATAGATCGACTCGTAGAATCCACCGTTGGCAATGAGCTGTTAACTTTCATGGATGCTTTTTCAGGTTATAACCAAATAATGATGAACCCCGAAGACCAAGAGAAAACGTCATTTGTCACGGATAGAGGTATCTATTGTTACAAAGTAATGCCTTTTGGTTTGAAAATGCAGGAGCAACTTATCAACGATTGGTTAACAAAATGTTCCACAATCATCTCGGAAAGACAATGGAAGTCTACATAGATGATATGTTGGTTAAATCGTTAAAGAAGGAGGATCACGTTAAGCATTTAGAGGAATGTTTCGATATTCTCAATAAATATCAAATGAAGCTGAACCCGGCAAAGTGCACATTCGGAGTCCCATCCGGAGAATTTTTTGGCTATATAGTGACAGAAAGAGGGATTGAGGCCAATCCAAATCAAATTAACGCCTTTTTAGACATGCCATCTCCAAGAAACTTCAAGGAAGTACAACGGTTGACTGGACGGCTTTGAATCGTTTTATCTCGAGATCAACAGATAAGTCGTTACCTTTCTACCAAATTCTAAAAGGAAACAAAGGATTCCTTTGGGATGAGAAGTGTGAAGAAGCTTTTGGGCAACTTAAGGCATACTTAACTACCCCACCTATATTATCCAAACCAGAAGTGGACGAAAAGCTTTATCTATACGTGTCAGTTTCAAACCATGCGGTTAGTGGAGTCCTGGTCCGGGAAGACCGCGGGGAGCAGAAGCCGATTTACTATATAAGTAAGTTAATGACGGATCCAGAAACCAGATATACCATGATGGAAAAACTTGCACTCGCAGTGGTGATTTCGGCTCGGAAGCTGCGCCCATATTTTCAATCCCATCCAGTTGAGGTATTAACCAACCAGCCACTCCGAACAATACTTCATAGTCCAAGTCAGTCCGGACGTCTGGCGAAGTGGGCGGTGGAATTGAGCGAGTACGATATAGAATTCAAAAGCTGAATCAGTATGAAGGCTCAGGTTTTAGCAGATTTTCTGACCGAACTACCAATACCTGGCATGCTAGAACAACCAGAGAACCAAACTTGGAAATTACATGTAGATGGGTCTTCATCAAAGCAAGGATCCGGAGTGGGAATCAAGTTGGAATCTCCAACATCGGAAATTCTAGAACAATCATTCCGATTATTATTTAATGCTTCCAACAATGAGGCAGAATACGAAGCCCTAATTGCCGGACTTCGATTGGCACAAGGAGTTGGAGCTAAGGAAATAGTCGCTTATTGTGATTCGCAATTAGTAGTTAACCAGTTTAATGGAGACTACGAGGCCAAGGACTCAAGAATGGAAGCATACCTCGAAGTGGTGAAGGATCTATCTAAAAATTTCTCGAAATTCGAATTAATTCGCATACCCCAGGGAGAGAATACAACCACGGACGCACTTGCCGCGTTAGCATCAACATCAGATCCTGACTTGAAAAGAGTTATCCCAGCAGAATGCATTTTGGAACGAAGCATTCAAGATAACAAAGAAACACTCGTCGTTACAAGATCTCGAGCAGCGGCACGTGACCGTGACGAACCGGAGGTCAAACTGCCACCCATCAAACGAAGGAAATCAAAGGGATCAAACACATCTAATAAGGAACCCGTTGTCTTAGTAGAAGATGTGATGCCAGAAACGATATTAGAAACCGAGCCGTTAATCGAGGAGGATGTTCTTGAACCAAACGAACATCCCGAACCAGAGCCACGAGTATTTCACAAGGTTGACCAAATTCCGGCTAAAGACTGGGGGGCTGACTAGAGGGAGCCAATAAAGCACTACATCATGACAGGCGAGCTCCCAAAGAATAAGTGGCAGGCCAGGAAAATGAAAATCGTTAGCGCGAAATTTTGTCTATCAAAAGATGCATTATATAGACGAGGTGTCAGTGACCCTTACCTATTATGCATTTTTGGGCCCGAAGTCGAAATCGTCATGAGCGAAGTGCATGAAGGATTATGTGGGAGTCATTCATCATGAAGAGCTATGGCTTTTAAAGTTAAAAGAATGGGATACTATTGGCCCACTATGATCACGGATTGTGTTAAATTTGCCCAAAGATGTAAGCGCTGCCAACTCCATGCACCATTGATCCATCAACCTTCGGAGTTATTCTCTTCCATCTCCGCCCCATACCCGTTTATGAGGTGGTCAATGGACATCATTGGACCATTGCACAGATCAACTCGAGGTGTACAATACCTTTTGGTCTTGACGGACTACTTTTCGAAATGGATTGAAGCTGAGGCATATGTTGGCATCAAGGATTCGGCGGTGAAGACTTTCATTTGGAAGAATATTATATGTCGACATGGAGTTCCGTACGAAAT